GGAACAAATATTACTGAACTAATGTTCAAGCATGATTAGCTCAAAGAAAGTTGTTTTGCTTGTTACAAGCTGCTATCACAAATTAATTATTTAATCCCTGATACAAAATGATTCTAAAAAATAATTTTATAACTATTTGGAGTTTTATTGCCTGACAATGGGATAATTCTGTTGTAGGAATGGTACAGTGGTAGGCTGATTTGTCATGCAGATGCCATCCTTGCAAGGGCAGCTAACATATTGGAGAAATATCAAGAAAATAATCAAACTGCTGTTTCATTAGTTGCTAAAATTGGTGGAATATATTGGTGGTATCAGACAGTATCACACCCTGCTGAACTTACTGCAGGCTACTACAACACTGCTATGAGAGATGGTTATGATCCTGTTGCTTCAGTTTTTTCTCGTCATGGAGCTGCTTTGCACATTCCGTAAGTTGTCTCATATCAGGACTAAAAATATTTTACTAGTAATAATTTGCGCCATCATCCTTCATTTTTTAATGCTCTGGAATAACAACATATTGGAAAAACCATAAACAAGGATTAAAAATCTCTATACTTTTCTGTTAATTATATTTGCATCTCAACAATTTTATTATTTCAACCACGTTTGCAGCTGCTTGGAAATGATGGACAGTGAAACCCCATCAAAATATCTTTGCAGCCCTGAAGGATTACTCCAACAGGCATGGATTCTCTTTCATTTACAAGGATTCCTTTCTTGTTTCATTATGGGATCCTTTTTTAAGCTAAATTTTGTTAAATTTACTTTCTAGTAGGCTAAATATATTTATGTTTTTGCATGCTGAAATTTGCCCCTCAGAACAAGTTGAAGTTAATCTAAGATCATCCTTTCTCCAACTGCCTTATTCTTTTACTCTACTAGAATTCCCTGCCTCCAACTTTCTCAATTACTTGGCATCATCTGCCAACCTTTTCAAAGGTTTACTGCCATCTTTGAGGAGCCTTTTTGGAATAGTTTTGGAGGCTTTCTTTCTCTTTCCTGTTGGGAAGTTTGAGATAAACTCTTAAGGACCATGTAATATGAAATTTAATATGCAACTTATCTCATTTGTTTTATGTGCTTCTCCTGTGGCAAATATTAATTTGCTCTACCCTCATCTCAATAATGCAGATAAGGTCTGTTTCAAAGAAAAGGATAATACACTTGATTGGAAGAAATACAGATGAGCGGTTTGACAAGGTAATTCTTTTCAGAGTCTCTGACCCTTTTATAGCTATTCTTTGCTTATATTTAAAAGGTTTTATTGATTTTTTTTTTTTTTTTTTTGAGAAAAAATTTATCCAGGCAATGACCACTGATATACTTTCTCTTTTGAAATCTTGCAGACTGGATTGTGGAAAATACATTCTAACTGTTACCATCCCCAGGCAGAAGATGTAAGATCGTTTACTTATTTCAGAATGAATGATAAAATATTTAGGGTTGAAAATTGGAATAACTTTGTACCCTTTGTTAGAATGATGAGCATGGATTCATGAAAATGCTGTTAGACCTGTCTAACCATTCTACTGAACTAGTTGAGCAGAATAATCTCCCCACCCCTACCTTATTTTTTCTGACTGGGGATGAAACAGGGAATCCTAAAAGGTTTTGCAACTTCTTCAAATATCTTGTTAGGAAATACCTATACCGTTGGTGAGTCAAACTTTGAAAATTTTGATGATGTTGGGCGAATAAGTACCAGAACAGAAATTTTATTTAGTTCTGAATAATAATAGAATAGAGTCAATATCCACTTATTCATGTGTAAGTGGATTTTTACTTATGCAAAAATAGAAATATTGGTTGGCTGGCTGTCAGCATTGTTGGCCTCTCTGGCAAATTAGAGCTCCAGCAGATGGAGAGGTGGTCCTTAGAATTGAAGCTGGTTTTGCCACCATACTTGATGCTCTTACATAGCTTTCTGGAGCTGCTTGCCCTGAAGGTGTAAAGAAAGCACCATTGAGCATCAGATCTCCATCTGATCTCCAATTCCAGTTCTCCCACTCAGCAACATCTGAATCTTCCCGTTTTGTCACCTAAATGAGATTAATAGATTCTTCAGAACTCAAGGAAAGTCACAGAGTCTGCTGGAGAAAAGTTTAAGGTTCCTGGGTTCAACATGTTTGTTAGTTTAGGTGACAAAGCTATCGTGTCAAATCTATAATTTATAATCATCCAAAGAACGGTCTTTGCTCTTCTGATCTGTTCTGTTTCTTTCTTTACCTTTGACGCAAATTGATCTTACCATATAAGGCACTAGGCATTCAGATACTTTGAGTCATCCTAGTTATTCATGTGTGAGCAAACATGTCCATATAATTTTGTCAAAGTTATCAGAGTGTTATGGTTGATATAATTATGTTTTTGTTCTGATAGAGAAACTTGCCTCTTTTGTGGAATTGTTATTTGATGCTACAAAGACATTTCCTTGACTGTTGATTGTCGGATTGGCACTTCCCCCAATTGCATACATCTCCCATCCATAGTATACATTATTAACTATGTGAAAGTATCCATGCCTGCATCTGAAACAATTCGGCATTATGTTTACAAACCAAGTCACTATTAGGCATAGATGGGAAGCATAAGCATATATTTTAGTACTCTGTGCATATTTTAGTATCTACCTGGGCATTCTTTGAACCAGACCTTCTCCGAAGTAATTGAAGGTGATAGTCACTTGCATGTTTTTGTCAGCTACATATTCATCGCTATGACCCATAAGCATGGCTTCATTGTGATGCAGCATGTGGTTGTTAGAGATTGTTATTGATGTTGAACCATGAGTGATATCAATCAGCCCGTCAGAGCACCTCTCTAATGTGCAGTGATCGATCCACACATCCTTAGATCCATATATAGTGATTCCATCTCCATCCGAGTTATCCCCTGTTATATAGGGCAGCGGGAAGGCCCACACAAAGGTACTTCCCGCTGGCAAACAGTCATGTATGTAGATGTTATGTATGATGATATTACTCACGTTATATAAGGTTATGCATGCTCCATTTGCTATCTGGACACGGGACCCTCTCCCATCTATAGTCTTGTATGAGTTCACCACCAGCTGTTCTTCTAGGTTGATGATCATGTCATGATCAAAGATGATCCACAAAGGCTTTTCCTGGATGACAGCATGCCGGAGTGTCCCTGGATTCGGGTTTTTAGGGTCATCATTGTTAGGATCAGTGACCACATAGAGCTCACCATCTCGACCGCCAAGGGCATTTCTTCCAAACCCAACTGCACAATCAGCCAACCTCTTCCTGTTGGCTTCCCATTCTGTGTCACACCTCCAACAGTCATCAATGGGGTTCCCACTTTTGCATTGTCCGTTCTCCTGCTGCTGCCTCCTTCTTGTTGACCCCCTGATCATATACAATAGCAAATTTTTTATTTTTATTTTTATTTTTACTTTTCTTTAAAAAGTAAGCATTCTGAGAAACTCTACTAATTAAGAACCGGGATGGACTTACCATTGTTTTGTTTCTGATATCTGGAGCGGGGAATGAGAATGTGCAGTGAAGGCAGCATGTAACAACATGAGCAGGGGAAAAAGAAAAAGATGGAAACTTGGCATTTTGAGGGAGAGGTATAATGTGAAGGTCACCAAAATGGCCTGAATATATACAGCATTTGATGATTGCCGAAGGCTAAAAAAAAAAGGCAAAGGGGACAAGAGATGGGTGAGAATTTTAGTGCTAATTAAGAGAATTTGAAAAAGGGTCACGAACTCAGGACTAGTTGATACATAAAATTAAATGTGCTGTGAAAGTTGGTTGTACGTAGAATTCCATGTATGATATCCTTTAAAAAGGGGAATGGATAATTGAATAAACTTCCCTTTTGTGCTTACTTTTATTAAGTATTGTGGTAGAATATTGCGGCTTGAGTAAAGTTTTACCGACATGTTAGGTTTTGTGAATTTTATCTCATCAATCAAGTGCGGTCATTGGAATGGCCCGCTCCGGCAAGTGGCACGGTTTTGATGAATTTTATGCGTTGGATTCTCATAGAATTTTTTCTCGTCTTTTAATTATTACTTGTAAATAATTATAATTTATGTATAAAAAAAAAATTAAATCTTTAATTTGGTTCTTAAATTATTATACAGATATTTGATTTGGTTCTTAAATTATTGTACGAACTTTTGATTTAATCTTTATTATTTATCAATTTATCTTAAATTAGTTATTTCGTATAAAAAAATTGATATGTTTAGTATTTAACAACAAAAAAGAATAACTTAATAGTAAAAAATAGTAAATTAACGGTCACATATCACGTTAATAAAGTGACATGTTAACTGTTTTTGTATAAAAGGACCAACTTGAGGTAAATTAGTAAACAATAAAGATCAAATTAAGGATTCGTATAATAGTTCATTGATCAAATTAAGGATTTTTTTAGTTCAAGGATTAAATCGGATGTCTGTATAATAGTTCAGAAATCAAATTAAAGATTTAATCTAAAAAAACAAATACAGCAATTACAACTCTGATAACAAAATTTATTGATAAATAAATATTATTTTATAATTTAAAATTTAAAATTTAAAATTAATATATAAAAAATTAATTTTTTATATATTAAAGTAATATAAAAGTATATCTTTAAAATTATTTTAAAAAATTAATTTTAAAATATATAAAAATGGGCTTGAAAACACCATTACAATAAATGAAAAAGAAAACAAAAGTACAGCAATAATTAGTGCGGATTCATAAGATCAGAAATAGCTGCTTACACAACCCGACTTATCGCCAACCTCTGTCCCCCTACTTAAAAGTTGCTTAAAATAATAATAATAATAAATTATAAATAAAATTTACAAAAATTTTATATTTATAATTTTAGTTTATAATATAATGTATTATTATATAATTAATTTTTATATAAAAATTTATTTATAATATTTTATGTATTTATTTATTTAATATTATAATTTTAATTAATTTCAATTATTCATATAATATATAAATAATTATAATTTTATTTAAAATTTATGTAAAAGAAGAGCTTACCTAATAATGAGTTAGCATCACATGGCATAACAAAGACAATCATACTACTTAAGTTTTATTCAAATAATCAGAAGCAAAGATTAGGAGATTGAAAGAGGCATAATCAATTGTTCAAAAGAGATGAGAGTTAAAGAAAAGGACACTTGAGGTTGTTATGAGTTAGTACCATGTAATTTTATTAGGTCACATGATGTCATCTAATTTACTTATGAAATTTTGATTACATTAACAGAGTAAGCAGAACATAAAAGTAAAATTGTACTTACACTTTGTGTTTTGTGGTCCAATGGTTATATACGCATAATAAAGTGTATTCTTCCAACCTTAAGAGTGAGATTCAAATCCATTCGTCTTCAAGTTGTAAACTATTCAAAAAATAAAATAAAATTGCACTCCCAAATTTTTTATGGTATATAGCACATGTGGAGGAGTAATGTTTACACTTATAAATAAACCAATGAGATGAGATCATGTGTCAAGACTAGACTTAATCTTTAAGGAGAGTCGTTTTGCAGAACTCTACCCTTTATTTTGTAACATTGCTTGGGGCGTAATTTATTTCACAAACGTTTTTTCTAATTATCCTATCGGAGGTCGATTGTTGAAAAAGAAAAAAGTTGTCTTGAAAATCTTATTTTTTTGTTTTTATATAAAGCAAGTGGTACGTTTTATTCTCAAATTCACATGGTTAAGGCTGGTTAAGGATTTTTGGGAAACAAGTAAAATTATAATTTTATTTTATTTATTTTTTTAAGTGGTGGTATATAGTTAATTTTTTATATACTTTTTATATAATTTTATAATTATTAAATGAGTATATATATTTAATATGACTAATTTTAAATTATTAAAAATAATTAATTATTTAAATGATAAATAAAATTATATAAAACATTATTTATAAATCATTTTCTTTTTTTAATGTAGTATAAAAATTTATATAATATAGTTCAAACTACATATTAAAAATGTAATTTACCTTATAAATTTATTAAAATATTTTAAAATACTTTTTTTAAAGTCTTTTATTTTTATTGATAAAATATTATTTTATAATTCAGTTGGTCTTGTTACCCAGTTGCAGTTATTACCTCTTCCCTCCATCTTTCTGAAATTGCTTTCAAGAACAATGACCATATCCGCGTTTCTCTTTACACCTTCAAATCCTCTAACATTGTCTCACAAAACCCTTCATTCTCATTCACTATTGTCTCCAAAAAAACAACCTTTTCTGTTCAAATCCAAACCCAGGAGAAGACCCGTCACCATGGTCAAGTCCAAAGGAGACGTTTCTGCTGATGGCTCGGACAGGTTAATCTCAGCAATTAGTTATTTTTACCCTTTCTTCGATGGCATCCGGTATGGAAAGTAGGTCATAGCACAATTTACTCCCATTCAAGTGATGATTCAACCCTTGGTATCAGCTATTAGGATATTTAAGAGGTTTCCTGTAAATGGTTTTTTGGTGTTTTTAACCCTTTACTTTGTGGTTGTTAGGAATCCTAACTTTAGTAGGTATGTGAGATTTAATGCCATGCAGGCTATTGTGCTTGATGTGCTGTTGATTTTTCCTGATCTTTTGGAGAGGAGTCTTAATCCAAGAGATGGAGTGGGTTTGGATTTGATGATGAGCTTGGACAGCACTGTGTTTTTGTTCCTTTTCGTTTGTTCGATTTATGGGTCGTCTTCTTGCTTGTTTGGTCAGCTGTTCAGATTGCCAATTGTTGCTGAAGCTGCTGATAGGCAAGCTCTTTGATATCCCACTTTTTTTTTTCCTGATTTATTATTGTAATTTACTTTTGATGTTAAGTTTGAGACTCAGAAAGTGAGAATGTTCAGCAGCACACTGAGTTAGACAAAAGAGAAGAAAGTCATACTGTACATGCTCTTACATTTGTTGTACAGTTAATTGGAATGAAAATCTTTAAGCTTAGTTTCTGCTGATAGTTGATGTGTTTGAGATAATAGGGGAAGTAGGAAATGACTCTTCAATCTTCATATTATTGATGACTGATGTTAATGCTCAATATGATACTATCAATTTTAGCATATTTAGTGCCTTGTGGGAACATTGTGAAACGCTAAAAACTAAAGCATTTTTGTGATACAAAGTAGAAGCGTGTTAGGGATTTAGTATGCAACAATGTTTACAGATTGATAGTTTTTATCATCTTTTGTACTTGCATTGCCTTAGGGGGGCTTTATTTAGAGGACAGTACACTTGCCAAACTACTTGTATCTTGGTATTTTAATTTATCACATTAAAGGCCTCCTATGGGAATTTAAAGGTAGTTTTTGATGGAATTATTTATACAAATCTTATTTTAAGTTGTTGATTTTTGTCTAGGGTTTATTCAATTATCCCCTTATTTACAGTGGTATGAACTATGAAATGAAACCAAAATCATTTACCTTGCCTAGAGGCTTCTTTTTCTGAAGTCTCACTGTTTGTTGCTGGCATTGTGACAAGAGCTTGGGAGATGAATGTAGTCTTGTCTTGTAGACCTTGGTCGATTCCAATTATAATACAAGGCATCCCTAGCCTCTGTCTTCCTGCAGTCTTGCTTTTTTCTTCAAGTGTTTGGTTAATCATAAATGTAGAATGCCTTAGAGCATGTCACTTTGGATGCTTGCATCTCATTTTCCATCAAAGCGATATTTCTCTCTATATTAAAGAAAGCTTCTTTCTCGTTCTCATCTCCCACTGTTCTTCTTTTTCCATGTATCAATCATTTTCGGCAAAACCAC